GAAACATCAGTCCCAATATAACTCGGTCCATGTCCTTGAACCTTCTTCTTCGCCGAATATTGTGTTAATGTATTCTCTAAATCACACCTGAAGCCATAGGGCCCAGGAATAAGCAAACTTGAGAACAGGAATGTAGAATTCAAACGCAATTATAGACCGTCTTATGAGCAGGTCTGTATTCAGTGCCGACAAATAATATCATGGCATCCCCCATGTAACCTTTAACCTCATTTAGCCTTTGTACTGATGCTCACGTTTCAATCTGTCAAATTATCGTTGCCATTCTTTTTATCTGTTCTATGTACACTTTTATAGACAAATCGGTGGATGAGTTCATTCTCCTGCTGGCCTATTTGGGTCTGCCCCTGGGACCCGAGGACCTTCTCACCGTGTTGACTGCGGAATGCGCTCAAAGTGCCGACTTGGAAGAACCTTTCCCAATAGATTTACAGAAGAGAGATTCTTCGACTTCCCTCTGCTTGGCACGTCTCATTACCTCGTGGTGTCTTGCAGGCCGCTCCACCGATAGTCGGAAGCTCTATACCGACCTGCGTCAGCGTTTCCTTCCCCAGCTGACAGAGCCTCCAACCCTTTTGCCAAAACCGCAGATTCGCGTACCCCGTCTCATTAGCCTGCCCCGGGAGTACATTAGACTGTTAGCGCTGGCAAATGAATGGAAGTAAGTTCCGTCTCTCTTTATTTTTCCATATTCAGTTAGGTGTCCCTTTTTTAATCTCAGGCAGTGTTCTTACATCTGACCAGTCTCTGGACAGTTTCTCTTATATTTATTATTGTCTGTTTTGACTGTTGCAGTATTTTCTGCCAGGAAACCTTGTCCAGAAAACACAGGACGTTAGTAATGATATTTGGAAGGAAAGTATTTCTACATGCCGCGGTTGTTAACGAGAAGTTTTTATTTTTCTTGGGTATTGTGTACATTTATATTCGGTACCGCCAAAGCTCGAGAATTCGAACGAGCAGGCAGCTCATTAAGTTGTGGTTGTCGGGAGACTGGACCGATCAGTGACCCTTCGTCCATTCGTTGTGTCGAGTGACCTCGCTGGGCAATGTTTTCCTGCAGTGCCTGGATCTGATGCAGGTGCTTTCCACCAGCCTCTGTGATACACCCGGCTGCACTGTACATATAGGCATGTCCGTCAGCCTGGAAAGCCTCCTTTTTTCGCAGTCGATTTGTAATGAGTATCTCGTATCCTTTGACTCCGTATCCAGTCGTAATGCAGAAGTCAATCCCCGGTGATAACAACAATTGGTATGGTACGGTAATATTAAACAAAATAGTGAAGAATAAACAATGTACAAAACTTACCAGTGGAAACACGTAGTCAAACACAAACACGTAACAAAGGACTCGGTCAAATATCGCGAGAAATTTAGGAAAAAATAACGTACGTGTGCAGGGCGATACCAGGCCTGCGAGAGCGTGTGTGAGGGAGAGAGGGTGGCTGTTGCCTTTTTGTAACTTTCGACACAGTTCATGTGGTGTACAAGTGGTGAGTTACATTGCCCGAAAGGGGTGTCGTGTACATTAGTCTCTGCTGCGTCGGGTTGGGGCGGGGGGGAGGGGGGGCGATTGCATGTTGTAGTGGCTGCGACTAACTGAACTCGGATGTGTGTACGCGGGTCTTTGGCAGTCGCGACTATTTGCACACGTGCTTGTTTGCGCGGAGAAGTAGGTAGTGTCCTCGATTCCGCG